CATAAGCGCCGCCCACCATCGAAGGTGGGCGGCCTATGCCATGAGTTTAGGGTTTAGGGTTTAGAGTCTAGGTTTTGGAGGGTGCAATGGAACATGAGATGAGTAGTGTTTTTTGGTGGTTAAACCTAGTGAGATTATATTTCTTATGTAGAAATCTATACCCAAAAGGAGGATATGATCTTACTCTATGTTGGGTACCATAGTACCCCCAAATAAGATACTGCTTAGATTAGCAAGTGAAATCAACAGAGGATGCTTGGGCATGTATAGGGGCATATAGGGTTTGGCGTTTGGGGTTTAAGGTGATCTAGGGTTTGGGGTTTAAGGCCAATGAGGAGAAGGCTTACCAGGGTTTAGGGATTTGAGCTTGAGGTTACAGTTTGGGGCCTTTAGGCTTTGGGGAATATGGCTTATGGAATGAACAAATGCAAAAAGGAAAGCAAGGGAAACAGACTCTCTTTTTTTCCGGATTTGCAGCGTGGGCTTCCGGTGGTTTGGGCTTTAGGTTTAGGTTTCAGGGTTTCGGGCTTAGGGTTTAAGGGTTGGGTAAGGTAGAGTTCAGGGAATGAAGGAGTTGATTTGCAGGGATGACGTCTCGGAGCTGTTGCTAAAGAATCTAAAACAGGTACCATCATATGAGCCGTAGTCTAAATTCCTAAGAGGGGATTGTATAGGCGAGTATTATGGGGCTGAGTAAGGGGGATGCTCGGAATTGAGACTACTTGGACCCCAAAAGTAGGTAAAATGAAAGCCCAAACCCCCTAAAAACAGCCCAAAAGGCGATTAGTCTACATACTTTTGGGGTTCAGGAAAGCTCATATGGGTATACAGTAGATAATAGGGGGGGAGGGGGTTCCTTATCATGGTGACTTAAACAAAGTTCCTTGACAGCAACCCTGTCATGTGGCGACGACTGTAGGTGTCGATTTTTTCCACTGGTTTAGGGTTTTAGCGGTTAGGGTTTAGGGTTTAGGGCGCATTTCAGCAACTCGGGTCGCAATGTTCACCCTGCTTAACAAAGATTGAGATCATATACTTTACACAGGTTCTTTCACGCCCCCTCTTACCCCCTAAACCCTAAATCCATGTAGTCACCAAGGCTGGGCAATAAGAGTCCTCCAATGAAAGCAAAGACAGTTCTGGCACGCCTGCAAGTGCAACCGGGGCTCATCACCGCGTAGCACATAGGAGACCAGCCAGCCTCATCCCGCTCCTTAGGACATTAGGGTTTAGGATTTAGGGTCTAGGGTTTAGGGTGCGTTAGGCCTTTTGGGTTTAGGATTTAGGGGGCATGCCGCATGCAAGATGCACGATGAAGGTTGCCATCTATACGGCACATTTCGTTCGCCGCTGCCGGATGAAGGCAACAGATAGGAATCGTACATGCAAACGCAAACTGCATGATGGTAGTTAGCAAGCCAGTTTCGCTTTTGTTCTCCTGGCTCGTAAATTTTGGAGAGTGTTGAAAAAACCCTCGACCCTAAAACCTAAACCCTAAACCCATCCCTCTGAACTCGAACTCCTAAGCCCTAAACCTTTGGATTTGAGGCCTAAGTTTTGAAAAATGTACTGTTTACAGATATGCAGAAATTGGTTGCTGTTAAGGAACTTAAATTAAGTTGCGATCATCATTATGAGGAAGTCCCATCATTGACCACGTACCCATGTTATTATGATGACTTGAATCAAGTTCGTTCACAGCAACGCAGTTTCTGGAAGGAGTCCATGCCAAACCCTAAACCCTAAACCCTGAACCCTAAACCCTAAACCCTAAACCCTAAACCCTAAAACCCTAAGACCAATCCTGAAGGAGGCCTGGACCCTAGACCCTGCCTGTGATCCCAACTGCCTTGCGCAGTTCTTGGCCAATGACCTAAACCCTAAGCCCTACCTGGACCCCCAAAAGTATGTAAAATAATGGCCTTTAGGGCTACTATTATGGGTTTTGGGCTATTATTTTCCTAACTTTTGGGGTCCAGGTAGAACCTAAACCGCCAATGAGCATGAAGATGTCAGCCGGCTATCTGGAAATTTCAGCGGGTCAGATCAAGATACACTTCGTCCTCCTAAGCCGTGATCCCAGAAGACGATAGGGTCCTATCATATTCCTATTATACCGCTATTACAGGGTGGAGGGGTCCTCCTAAGGTGTAGGGTTTTGGGTTCAGGGTCTAAACTCATAATATTCCCTTAGTAACTTCTACAATGCTCCCCTATATAACACCCTTCAAGGAGTATAGACCATAGCTCATATATGTGCGCGTGGAGAGAGGGAGAGAATGTGTGTGTGTGAGAGAAAATAAGAGAGTGAAGTGTTTAACGCAGAAATTCGTAGGTTGTCCAGATTAGTATGGTCTCTTTGAGGATTCGATTATGATATGGCTGCGAATATTCCGTGTACTCCAAAAACACAAGTCTGACAAGCTACCAGATAGGCGTTTAATATATGGTGAAGGCCTTACTTTCTTATTTGGAGGATCAGGGGGACTTAGTAAGCATACTTAGAACCCCGATAACCCTAGCTATTCCTCCTCTTAACCTACTTACTAAGTCCCCCTGACAGCATTATCTACTAAGTATGGGAGGTGCTCGGACAAACCAACGCAACCAATAAAAGCGCTTTGCACCTCATATTGTGGCATCTTTACGTTTTTGTTCTGTGTCTAGGGTACTCTAGGCAGTTACTCGTAAAATGTATGTACCCGGGGGTTACAAGGCGAGTAACTCCCTCAGAAGTGAGCATCCTTAGGGATAGCAGGGCCCCCGAAAGGGAAATGTATATGAGACATAGTCTAAACTCCTAGTATCCTCTTGAATACGTCCCATAATGCTATATAATCTCCTATATAACCCCTTGGGGTTTAGACTATACCTCATATAGGGATTACAGCAAGATTATTGCGGGGTCCTTGTGTGAGGGGCTCTTTCGGGTTTCTTTTTGTTTAGGGTTTAGGAAACTTGGAGACAGGCCTTAGAATAATGGCCCAAAACCCTGTAAACCGCCGAGTAAACCATTATTTCACAGACTTTAGACCCTAAACCCTAAACCCTAGTTGGGGGTTCAGGCACCCATGCAAGCATGGAGCGCAGCACCACCCCGCAAAAAGGCGAGCTTAAAGCCTTTCTATGCCAAGACCCTCCTAGCACCCTTGATTAGGCATAGGGGTTTACGGGTTTCGGGTTTAGGGTTGCCCCAATGGAGGGTGACCCTCCAAGTACTCTTAATTGGGGATATATGGGTACTTAGGCCCTAATGGTGGGATATATGGCTGGTGGGGTTTTGGGGTGGTTTGTGGTGTCTGAGGGGACAGAGCCTTAGGGTTCAGGTTTAAGGGTTCAGGGTTCAGGGTAGGTGTCCAAACCATGAATATTGCACATCACATCGCAAACTTGGACCCTAGATGGCAAGCTGTCAAATTGTGATCCCTTTGGCACCTTAAACCCTAAACCCTAAAACCCTAAACCCTAAAACCCTAAAACCCCAAACCCTAAGCCCCCTCTTGGGGTGCCTGATTTTTAGGAGCTGGGCTCCTGAGGGATTCATGGCCCAGTCTCAGACACGCTGACGAAGCCGTTGTCGTGCATAAACCTGAACCACGAACCCTGCTAGAAGCCTTGCCTGAACCCACCCAAGTATGTAGAATAATTGCCTTTTGCGCTATTTTTAGGTGTTTTGGGCTATTAGTTTACTTGCTTTTGGGGTTCAGGTGAACCCTCAACAATTCAGGATTTTGAGGTTTCGGATTCGGACTTCCGGGTTTGGATTGCAGGTTGGCTCATGGGACTGGCGATGGGCTGATGAAGGCCCGAGACTTGGGTGGCCAGGGCCTTCGCACGGCACTGATCCATTCAAGTATGGTTTCTACCTAAACCCCAAAGGTATGTTACGTTAAACCCATGATAACAGCCATAAGGGCCATTATTCTACATACTTTTGGGGTCCAGGTAATTCTGGTATCTTAGGCTTTACTGAGAGTGCATGAGGCTGCTCTTTGAAGGGTGGGTTTGGGCCATCCAGCTTGAACAGAATTAGCCTCAAATACTCTTATTCCAACATATTTGGATTACAAGGTCGACAGCCACTTGCAAGATGGAAGGATCCGGCATCACCTGATCCTGTCCTCCACCACAAGGCACCTTACAATCTAAATTCCACAGCCGCAAGCCCGAACCCAAAACCCTGCAACGAAGGTTTTCCAGTTGATGGACAACATTCTGCATGCTCCTGTAAAATTTGCAATAATTCCGGGGGCTTCGGTACCCTAAATCCCAAACCCTTAACCCTTAACTACAGATGCGTCGTGCCACTACCTCACTGGCTAGAGGTGATGACATTAACACGATGGGGGAGGTCCCTAAATTAGGAATGCTTTCTGAGGAGTCCCTATACCTGTAGTATTCGAGTCTATGCTGGGGCCCGCCTGTTCTGGGAAACTACAACATTTCTCCAACGTTTGCAACCTCTATGGTGCACTGCCCTACGCCCACATCACGAGAATATCCTAGCGGCAAGAAAGTGGGAGATCTTGCCTTCTTGAGGAAGACGCCAAAGCACACTGATTTAAACATCGTGCATGCCCACGCGAAACTGCACACCTATATACCCTAGCCAACGCCCTCAAACCCTAGACCCCAGAAAGCTCGAAGCAAAGAGTCTAGTATCCACCACGTGGTGATTCTGTTTTGGTAGCGCTGTGTCTTGGACACGATTTTTATTCGCAAATTACAGATTTCGGCCGGCCTCCATTTCACCGTTTGGTGAAAAGAGGCAAAGGGGGCTCGAATTCGCAAGGTCTCACAGCCGGACCCAGTGGAGGTATCCAATCAATGAGCCAAGGTTAAGGGTATAGGGTTTGGGGTTTAGGACGGCTGAGTATTGAAGACGAAGTCTCCTGGAATACGTGATAGCTGCATTGTTGGACAGCCCTCACATGGATGAGTGTGGCATTTTAACCATTAGTCTACTTTGCAATAGCTCTCCAGCACTCCAGACAGCCTCTTCAATCCAGGAAAGTTTTGTCAGGAACCTTCTCCTGGGCATATACCATACAAAAAGTCCCGAAAGCAAACATTGCCAGGAAGAAGACGTGTGGCAATCCGGGGCCCATTCCGGGGCCGCCAACGGGGCAGGATTTGTAGCAGTCTGAATGGCCTTTCACCCCACAAGTTGGCTCTAAGATGGCAAGAATCCAAAAGCCCAGAGCCATGAGGATCGGACCGCCAATCTTTGGCAAAAGGATACTTTTCTCTTGGAGGGAACCTTCCCGTTGCATCTTCCGAGAGGTGGCGATCCAAAAGGCGTCTGCCCACAGAAATGCTGCGCTCATAACTGCGGCTTGCACGAGGTCATCGCCACCTGAAGCCAGTGCCATGGCAAAAACGGAGGCACCGGCCCCGAACACGAAGAAGACCCACATGAGAGTCCGAGGGGCCGCCAGTTCGCGGTTGCCATGCATCAGGGCTTCCCCTTAGTCGCTGAGTTCATTAGCCCACAAAGTTGTAAACTTTTACTTCTATACGGGATAATAGTATACCAAAAAATGTAAAGAATATTTATTCAGTTGCTAAGTCTCCCATGCTGGTTCCCAGAAACAGACAAGTTCCCGCAGCGAACCCCAGCCACAACCGGGCCGTCATCAGAAGGTGAGTCTTTGTAGTGCCAGTGATGAAGCTATGGGCCACCGCTTGTAGAACACCGGAGATTACGCTGCAGAGAAAAAATATCGTGAGGATCACTGGAATCGCACCTAGGTCCCCCAGTAACCCCTCAAATAGATGTTGAAAAGGGTACCCCCTTTTCCTAATATCCAGCTTTCATAAGGAGACCCCCAAATAACAAGGGGAAAAGGGCACTACTGGAGTACCTAGGCACGGGTTTTCCCATCTTTCCTGATTCTTATGGCCACCGCACCCAAGTGCAAGAGCATCAGAAAGGACATCGACCAGAAGCTGATAATGCTACCTGCATGTTGACCTGCATTTTCGTATGGATCCAAGATCCACGAATCGGCGACAAGACAGGGCTCCATCGCGGCAATTTGAGGCCAAGGGTCCCAAGGCTTGTTAACCAAGACTCCTGATTGATAAAACCTCTCCCTTTCATAGGGCCTATAATAGGGATCCTCATACTAATGCCTTTAAGAGGAGCAGGTTTATTCATCATGGGTCTGCCTTAGTCTCACATGACTTCTGCATGTTCAGAGGTGAAAGAAGTATGGCCAACGGGCAACCCAGCTGGGCTGCTGTTCATATGAGCTATCGTCTAAACTCCTTGAAGGGGGGCTACTTAGGAGATTCTATAGGGTAGTAGTACAGGGCTTATTCAAGGAGATACTAGG